ATTATTACAAGCTTTGAGCTGTAGGTCTAAGAGAAACTCCACAGCTTCTTTGGTACAACTCCTACTTGGCTGCCCCCACACTTCAAGAAATGATAAGGCTGGGACCGTGCTACTTAAAGTTCTTGTAATTCGTAAGCAAATTCTTCTTATGCTGTTTATACTCCCAATAAACTTTGTCTGGAAGCGATAAAAGACAGCACTATTTCTACTGAAATCAGGAAGTGAGGTTCCTTGGACCAGCTCTCGAGGACGATAGTAATGGTTGTAAAATCCTAATTTTGAATTAGTGATATTGAAGCGTTTTCCAATTATATCAAACCTGTCTGTAGAGTCTTTCTCATCTAAAATCAGTATTCAATAAAATACATTTAAAAACCAAACAGCCAGTATGGTGCAGCCAAACAAAAATGTTAGGTTTCATGACTTAACCTTACAAGACTAATGTTACCCGACAGAAAATAGAAAAAATGATAGAGCTTTATTAAATCTCCAACTTTCTTAGAATAATTAATATTCAAACTTTAAAATTAGATTAAAAAATTATTAAAATACACAAAACATTTTGACAAATTTTTTTAACCTTATTTTATCATTCATGATCTTAATGGGACTATTCTTTGTAGACTACATGTTTCTAGTGTGGGCTTGTTTTAATTGGATGATTCATGGTTCATGTAATCTATAATTATAAAATGCACATTGACGTAAGTACCATGGATTTTGCTTGGAAATTCAAACTATTCCTTCTCCAATATACTACTACCATTCTTAATTGATTTTTTACTTCAAATATATTTTTTGATAAACAAATTCAATTATATAGTTTTCATTACACATTTATTTTTTCATATTGGTTTCCATTCTAACAATTTAACTATGATGCACCCACCTCATTATATTAAAACCTGCTTGAAATATATCAATCTATAATTCTGCCCAACTTGTGTAACAATCCATTCACATGTTTGGCAGATTTTGACTATATTATCATTAGTTAATATTCACAAGTAATCCAACACTTCAAGTAGACATGACATACATTCCTGCAAACTTCATAAAATAATGAAAATAGTCCAAGATTAACTTTCATCAAGCATTTCATTAGATCTGAAATAAATACTTCACAATCTAGTAATAGCACTTGGTTTATAAAGTTATTCTTATCCCAGTCATCCATATCTTTTTTTTTTAGTTCTGACCTATACAAATGCAGTACTAGTACTTAGCAAAAATATCTTGCAAAATAACAAATAAATTTGCAACAAACATGTTATTTGGATGATGGATTACTAACTGAGGAATAACTACACTCAAATGTAAACTGTCACTAAAACAAAGAACACTGTGAACTATAAATAATGCAAAAAATGGAAAGGACCTTACAAAAACTAGTTTTTTGTAAAAAATATATTGAAATCTTGAAAAAATAAACCAATACTTGATTTTGAATGCTGAGAGTAAACTTCTATGCCCGTTGTTTGTTGACTTCCAACCTGTGTTCCTAGTAGTATATGAGAGATTTCTAAGGACAGTGGAAATGTAACTGTTATGTTAACAGGTGGTTTGATGAAATATTCCGCTCGAAACCCTTTTTGTCTCTTGCCTCTATCTGACGATACAAGATTATCCACCTCGTATCCATCAGCAGAGACTTGATCGCACTGGATCTGACAGTTGTACTCTGCCTTACAAAAGTTGAGAGACATGAACACAACAGGAAGGCTTGAACAACTGAAAAAAATTTTACATGTTTCACATTATTTAAAATTCAGTAATTCTGAAAATAAAATGTCTGTTAAAATGATCTTCAGCTTTTATAATAATAATTTGATCCTGATATTACTACTAAAGTTAGTATTTGTTTTAATTAGCACACTTAATTTTATCAATTACATCAAATATAAACATTTGAAAGCCAATGGCTTTTACGAATGGCTGCAAAATATACACGTGTGTGTGCGTATTGAAATTTTAATTAACTCCATTATTTTTATCTAAAATATGTGAAGGTACATCATTAAATAAACTTGTAATTGTCAACTTAGTAACGTATGCCACATCAACTGGTTATAAGACAATACACATTATGTCAATGTCAAAATACCAAGACACATTTCGATAAAATTACATGGAAAATTCCAAAGTGGCATTACTAGTAATAGAGGAATAAACATTATGTTTATTCATGTCATATTTGTTTATTAACTCATTACATACCTTTGTTTGTAGTTTAAAATGTTAACTCATAATGTACAATTGTTGATAAATAAATATAGCTTGTAATGTTAATTAGAAGTTAGATGTTCAGACTTGAATAAAACGCCATTTTGTGTAATAAATTCAGAGATATCATGAAATTCAAATAATAAAATTAAAATGTGCTGTAATGCAATACCAGTGTGTACGAAAATTAAACCAAATTAAGGGGTAAATACCAAGAAATATTATGAATTTAGAAATAAGAGAACATAATATTACAACAGAATAAAATGAAAGAAATTCTAAAACGACATTGAGTAATTTGCAATAACACAGTAAACCTAAAAATAAACTGAGCCAATAATAATATGGAATTTTGTACGTTTGATAACAAATTAAGGAAATTATAGGCCTACTTTAGTAAATTGGTATATTTGTAAACTGTAGGTCTAACTAGCTATAGAACTTGAAATTCTCATTTGTTTTTAACAATAACGTTAAAAAATGAAATGTATATTTATAACAAGGATCCGAATTCAAAATAAAATTAGAGGAAGTCTTTTTTTCTTCTTCTACTGCATTGTAAAACTTTACGGTCGGAAAGATAATTAAGCAACTGTAAATTCACAGCTAATATTTTAAGTAAGATTTATAAATAAATTTCCTGAAAGTGAAATGAATAAAACTCTTACCACGAAGACAAAGATATCAAAAATATAACATTTAACTCAACATTCCTAGTACTAGTAGTGAGTATTACGTTCCTGTATTTGCGTAAAATAGAATCTAAAATGACACTAAGATCACAAAGAAAACCTGGATAACCTCTTTTGTAAATACCTTGTCGTGAAGTTCATTGCAGATAATTAGAATTTCCAAGTGAGTAAATTACTAAATTGATTTCAAATCATTAATCGTATATTTTTTATTTCAACAATAAAAAAAATCAGAAATAGTTAAGAAATATGTTCATAATACTTAAATTTTTAACACATGCAACAAGCGATAATTTAAGCGAAAATGTGGGTTTTCATTATAGAAGAATTTTGAAGCTTTATTGGTTGAGCTTTGGTAATTAGTCACTAAAACAATATTAACATTAACCTAAAATGAAATAAAAATGTATCGTACAAAAAGCTAAGCATAAACTACCGTGGAAAGTCAAAACTGGAATTATTTCTTCTGGTGATTAGTCGTTCTTATTTAAAAAGGTCAGTTGCATGCGTACTTCGGTGTGAAACATGGTAATGGAAAAGTAATAAACTATAAGGAATTGTAAATTTATATATGTTTTAGACCTCAGTTGATATAACACTTCCTATTTTTTTCAGATATATTTTCTTCCGTTAATTTGTTTAACAAATGCCTAAAACTAATAAAAAATAATTTATGACACGAGAATAAAATAATTATAATCATAATAATGTTTTATCCTGTATATGCAAAATTTCATTTTCAAGCGTTTGTTAACAAACACGCTTACTAACTGGCTAGTTTACTAAATAAATCAAAGATGAACAGATTCTTAATGTCTAACTCAGTAAATGACACTGAATAACTAATTAATTACCCTATAACTGATTCTTGAATTTATAGTTTATTCTTATTTCTACATACTACACGAAGCTTCTGGATGTGCATCATCATGATGTAATCACAGGCTCCCTCTAGCAAAAAACAAAATAAAAAAAACGTGTAAATTAAAATCGAAGATTAGAATATTATTTTTTTTATTATTAAAATATCTTATTTTCTAAATTAAATATAATGAGTGATCTTTTGGTCGCTATATTAGTAAAAAAAAAGCATCCGGTAATAAGGGGAAATAGGTTTAACCAAGCATATGATGTAAAGCACCCAGAAACCAATTATTTTCTCTTGAATATATTTTCTACACTGGATACCATCAATAAGGGTCAAATGTTTCAAAACCTTTTCAATATATTATGGAAGAATTAGGTATACTTATCATTAGTCTCTGAATTTCTGTTGAAACTTTGTATTTTAAGTTGACCTATTACTATTACTAGCAAAAGAATACGATATCCAGGAGCAGGGGTACAGGATATAACTGATCGAAGCAGAGAGATAGTTAAGGGTGCTAGTAGCAATGCAGTTTTCGTGGTACATGTTGGGGCTAATGATGTATAGAAAGATGGATCTGAGGAGTTTATTGATATGTATAAAACATTGATAAGGACATTTAAGGAAAGGAAACATAATTTGATTTTGTCAGGGATATTGCCAAGAATAAATTGTGGGGAGAGAGATACTAAGTAGGTCACTAGGATTGAATGCCAGGCTTAGATCAATATGTAGGGATGAGCAAACAGGCTGGTTGGATTTGTGGGATAATTTTAATGTGAAAGTTAATCTTTTTGGAATGAATGGTTAAGCATGTTAGCAAGGACTATTAACTCAGCTGTAGTGGTAGATTTAAACTAGGGCTAGACAGAGGTGAGGGCTATGATGTTAGTAAAATGGGAAATATAATTGACAGGAAAACAGGCATAAAACATGAACATATTTTAAAATATATGATTAATTGTTACTATTGTAATGCTAGGGGTATTAGAAATAAAATTTATGAATTCAAAGCAGTTGTGAAAACTGAGAATTTTGATATTATTGGTGTTACTGAGACTTGGTTGGATTTGAACAATTTTGATGAAGGAATTTTTTTTTAAAATACCAGGCTACACATTATTTACTAGAGATAGAATATTGAAAAAGGAGGAGGAGTGAATTGCATCCTGTTGGGTTAGAGCATATTAAAGAAAATAACACTGAGGTTGAGTTAGTTTGGGTTTGTGTTAGTGGATATAAAGGGAAAAGTCTTGTAATTGGGATTTGTTATAGACCACCAGGTCAGAATGTGGAAGCTAATGAGAAACTGTTTAATAAGATAAGAATGGTAGCTGAAAAAGATGTTGTTATTATGGGAGATTTTAATATTAAGGGTACTGATTGGGAAAATTTCGAGTCTGACAGTGAGGGAATAGGTTTTTGGAAATTGTTGAGGATACTTTTATATGCCAACTGGTGACGAAACCCACAAGAGAGGAAGGTATATTAGATTTAATATTAGCACCCGATGTGAACATGATAAAATTGTTGTTGGTGAGCATTTAGGTACAAGCGACCATTGCAATATTAGGTTAAGGATTTTACTACATGTCGAATTGAAGAAGAATAGTACCCTGATTCCAAATTTCAGGAAAGCCAATTTTGATACGGAATGAGACATGATCTGGTTTCTCTAGATTGTACTAAAGAATTGGGAGAGGATCTTGAACAGATGTGGGAGGAATTTAGGGGAAAATTGATATGCATACAGAACATACATATTCCCTATAGAAAAAAAATGACAAAGGAGTGGAATAAGCCTGTATGGTC